CACACACACACACACACACACACACACAAAGGCTGTGACCTTCTCATCACACACACACACACAGGTTGTGTCCTTCTCATAACACACACACACAGACTGTGTTCTTCTCATCCCACACACATACACAAGCCGTGTCCTTCTCATCACACACACACACACACACAGAGAAATCACACAGCCTCCTTCCTACATTCCAGTCTCTGGCTCCCAAGCAGTGCGAAGATGTGAACTCTCTGTCCACAGGTACAAATTGTGCTTCTGCCCCCTGCCAGGTGTGTAGTTTAGATTTTCCCCAAACACCAGAGTGCAGGAAAGTCCAGGAAGCCGGTTGTTCAATGATGACGCAATCAGGTGTTTGCATAAGATTTCAAAGTCCATTGCTGGGTTTGCGGGCTCGTGAAGTCACGCTGTGCCACACCTGCCACGTGGACGGGTCACTCGGCCCTGTGGACCCGGGTGTTTTACTGCACTGGAATGTTCTCGTGCCAGGCTGCGAAAAAATCCCCCCGCCCAGCAGGTGCAGCAAGTGACAGCGCTGTGAAGCGCCCGTGTAAACAGGCCCCCGGCGCCATTCGCTACTCCCCTTTCCTCCAGCGCCGGGAGAGCTCTCCCCCCACCCCTGCCGTGACCACGGCGCGGCGTGAGAGCGCTGCCCCGCCATCGTGTAGACAAAACCTGGGCAGAGCAGGTGCTCCCGGAGGTGAGAAGCAGGACTGAAGCCAACATGGAAAGGTGCAGCTGCCCTTTATATTCCCGCTGCCATGGGACCGGTGCTTCCTGGGTCCCAAATACAAGCTGCCCGGTGCCCGGCCTGGAACAGAATCCTAGAATCCTGGGGGGAACAGAATCCTAGAATCCCTGGGCGGGCAGAGATCTCAGGAGCCATCAAGTCCAGCCCACTGCCCAAAGCAGGACCAACCCCAACTCCATCATCCCAGCCTGGGCTTGGTCCAGCCGGGACTTCAACACCTCTAGGGATGGAGATTCCACCCCTCCCTAGGGAACCCAGCCCAGGGCTTCCCCACCTGCCTAGGGAAATGGTTTGTCCTAATCTCCAACCTCGACCTCCCCCTCTGCAACGTGAGCCCATCGCTCCTTATTCTGCCACCTGCCCCCACTGAGAACAGCCTCTCTCCATCCTCTTTGGACCCCCCTGCAGGGAGTTGCAGGCTGCTCTCAAATTCGCTCCCTAGGGAACCCATCCCAGGGCTCCTAGGGAAATAGTTTGTCCTAATATCCAACCTAGACCTCCCCCACTGCAACCTGAGACCATTGCTCCTTGTTCTGCCACCTGCCACCCCTGAGAACAGCCTCTCTCCATCCTCTCTGGAACCCCCCTCCAGGGAGTTGCAGGCTGCTCTCAAATCCCCCGTCACACTTCTCTTCTGCAGACTGAACAAGCCCAAATCCCTCAGCCCCTCCTCGCAGGTCATGTGCTCCAGCCCCCGAATCATTTTGGTCGCCCTCGGCTGGACCCTCTCCAACGGGTCCACATCCTTTCTGTAGTGGGGGGCCCAGAACTGGACACAATACTCCAGGTGAGGCCTCCTCAGTGCCAAATAAAGGGGAACAATCACTTCTCTAGATGTGCTGGCAATGCTCCTCCTAATGCACCCCACTATGTCGTTTGCCTTCTTGGCTACAAGGGTACCCTGTTAATTCAACAGCCTCAGAGGTCTCTGTCCACATGCCTTGCTGAAGCATTAGGTGTATGTATGCCATGGCCCCTTTCAGTGGCTCTTGGTATGGCTGATGACCAGTGTTCCCTGTAAGCTGAGCACTTGGGCGGCCGTCCAGGAGAGATTCAGGTGCCGCCCAGCTGATTGGGAGAGTACCCCGCAGCTGATCACAGCCAGCAGCATGTGTTTCTGTTGGTGGTGCACATCCACCCATGTGTTGGTGCACAGAATAAAATTCATTCCACACACAGATGGAAAATCTTAGCGGAACATTGCTGAGGACCCTTGTTGAGCCCCAAACAGGCTGAGGCCAACCATCTGGGGGTGTCCCCCAGAAACACAGCCCGATCTTGGACAGAGAGAGCCACCTAGCGTAGCTGTAACTCCCCGTACAAAGGCACAGTCCGTGCAGGGTCACACCCAGGTGTGCCTTTGTTGTGAACAGAGGCTGCTGTTGTTACAACCACCAGGTTCCATCAAGTTGAAACCAAACCCAGTCGCATGGAGCTGAGGGAGTGACCCTGGTAGTGGGAGAGGGCTGCAGTCTAGAGAGGCCACAGCAAGGACAGTGTCTGATCTGTTTATTCTGTACAGCCACTTCCTGGTAGCAACAAATAAGCTGTCACGAGTTCCAGACCTTCCTGCACTAGCTTTGTATCCCCCAGTCCAGCCCCAGGACTGTCTGTGTCTCTGGGTTGGGAGCAGTGCCTGGGGGGTTAGGCTTGGGAGCCAGGACTCCTGGGGTCTAATCCCAGCACTGGAAGAGGAGCGGAGTCTAGTGGTTAGAATGGTCAAGCCAGGACTCCCAGGTTCCAGTCTCAGGGATTGGAAGAGGAGTAGAGTCTAGTGGTTAGAGCAGTAGAGCCAGGACTCCTGTGTCCTAGCACCAGCACTTGAAGAGGAGCGGAGCCCAGTGGTTAGAGTGGTCGAGCTAGGACACCTGGGTTCTACATCTAGCTCTTGGCTGGATGTAATCTCCAGGCCTGAAATAGATGGGGTTCTAGAATGTGCCCCCCATAGAGAGACGGGGGAGCGGAGGCCCATGCTGTGCCAGATAACTGGTTGTCTGGGTCAGGCTGCCCCTCATGTTATGGGACCGCAGGATGATGGACTTCAGCAGCTGGTGCGGCCAGGCAAGGGGGCACGGTGAGGGGCAGCCCCTGCTGGGGCTGTCCCAGACCTAGGGAGGAGGCGGGCGGGGAGAGAGAAGCAGGCAATGCAGCCACTTCAGGGACAGGACAGCTCCCCCAGTGCTGAGATGCAGCCACTTCTGGGGTGGGAAAAACTGGAGAATGGCGGCAGAGGGACTGCTCAGCTCGACTTTGCGGGATGGGGGGAAGGGGTGCTGGAGTCAGTGCTTTCCCAATACAGAGGGAGCCACCCTAAGCAAAATGGAAAATGTGGTAATTACACTCAACAAGGAAGTGAGTGAACTAATCCAAACTTGGCTCTCCCCCAGCCGGCAGGTATGGCCCAATGTCCCGGCGCAAGGGCGGGGGCCTCTCCCCGAGCAGTCAGGGCTGGCTCCCATTCCCCAGAGCTGCACTAGGGGGCGCTGGGCTGTGGGGCAGGAGGACTCCATACGGGGTCAACATAAGAATGGGATAGTGGAGTTGACTGAGGCCAGTCACAAAACATCTCCGCAAAGAGGGTGTTTCGGCCAAGATGGAGAACACCCCAGGAGCCTCATTCATATGCCACCGAAATGGAAAAGAGGAAGCAAAAGGGCCATGTAAGAACAGCACAGCAGTGGGACTTAGACACCCAGCTCTGGGAAGGGAGTGGGGGCTAGTGGTTAGAGCAAGGGGGAGGGGGCTGGGGGAGCCAGGACACCTGGGTTCTCTCCCCAGTTCAATAACACATTTGTTTACACTCATGAGACTGCAGGAAACCAACAGTCGGATCCCCTGTGGCGCTGCGGCTCCCTCCCCACGGCCCTGAGCCCCCAGGAGGTGAGAACAGTCTCTGCCTAACAGCTGGGAAGTCTCACAGGCCAGGCGAGAGCTGCCACAGGGAAAGTTCCAGCCATGGATGGCCTGCGGGCCCATCTACCCTGGCCTCCTGCCTGCACCCCCCCTTCTTGGCCCCAGATCCCTTCTGCCCAGTTCCCAGCCTGTCCCAACAGCCCCAGGTCTGACCCACAGGCCCAGGACCCCTCCCCCTTCCAACGCAGACCCTTGGGCACGGAGAGGCCCTGACTTGCCCCCCAGCAGGACCAGCCCTTCTCCTCATCCCAGGCCACACTCTTACCCCCAGGTCCACGTGGGTCTCTGCTCTCAACGTGCTTCCGGCCCACGCTTAGTAACAGACATTTAGCTGCATACAGAGGGTGTTGCCACTGGGTAATAAATCCTACGCACACTAGAGTGCAGAGTCCCCGGGGTAGGGCGGAGGGAACAGGCTGCTGGCTTGTAAACCTCGCGCTGGGGTCGGAGGGGGCTCAGCCCACAGTTCATGTTGCTCCTGTTAGTGGCAAATCCACAGCACAGGGAACAGGGCAGCAAAGAGGAGCCGTTGCAACTGCCATTTATGTCCTCTGTCTGGCACGTGGAAATGGCCAGACCCCAGGAAACCCCACAGCCCCGGTGCATGGAAAATCACTGGTCTGTACAGCCACGAGGGCCCCTCACGTGGTTTGCTGAACGACGGGGGGAGGGGGCAGACAGAGGCTGGGATGAGTTTCTCCAACCCTGCATGGGGGGAGTTTCAGATCTGACTTTAATTTTTCCCAAGCATTGAGGGGCACTTCTTAACCCCAACACAGCCAGGGTAAAAAACGACGGCTCGTTTCAGCTGGGGAAATACCGGGCTTTGGTCTGGTGGCTGGAAGGATGGCGGGTGGGGCGTTTTCAGTGGCCGGACGCTCTGATGAACCCAGTTCCGTGTGGTTTGCTGCAGACCCGAACCCACCATGATGCCTCCCCAACGCTGAAGAAAACAATGAATCTCTCGTTCTCCACCTATGTGTATTTACATTTAATAATTGCACAGCCCCATTTGCAGTGCATACACCCAACTACACCCTTTTGTCCTGCGCGGGCTTGTTTGTTTGAACATTTCACGCTCTGATGAACCCAGTTCCGTGTGGTTTGCTGCAGACCCGAACCCACCATGATGCCTCCCCAACGCTGAAGAAAACAATGAATCTCTCGTTCTCCACCTATGTGTATTTACATTTAATAATTGCACAGCCCCATTTGCAGTGCATACACCCAACTACACCCTTTTGTCCTGCGCGGGCTTGTTTGTTTGAACATTTCTATCCTGATACAGGAGTCAGGACTCCTGGGTTCTCTGCCCTGTGACAGGAGAGGAGTGGGGTCTAGTGGCCGTAGCCAGGGCAGCTGAGAGCCAGGATGTCTGGGGATCTACCCCTGCTCCTGGAGGGGCGTGGAGACTAGTGGTTAGAGATGGCAAACTCTGGCACAAACGCCCCTTTCTCAGCAGCCCGTGAGAGAACTTCCTCCTGACTTTTAACGGGCCACTAAGCAGGGACTGTGGGGCCGTTTATTGCGGCATCCTTCCTCGTGCTCACATTTCTTCTCCTGGGTGCGGCAGCGCCCAGCTGCATTGGTTCTTGCCAATTTCTCAGAGGGCGGGTGCATGGGCTGGCTCTGTCCGGTGGATAAAGGAGGCTGGCTCTGCGAAGAAGAGTAGAGCAGAGGAGCGGAGGATCCCGGAGCGTGTGCTTCTCCTGGGCAGAGGAAGGTGAAAGGGGGAAGAGCCGGAGATCCAGGGGCCTTGGTGTCTCAGCGAGGGAAGAAGGAAGGGGACAGAGAAGCTGGCTCGGCAGGGCAGAGGAGGGGTGTGACGAGCAGAGCGGAGCAGAGCACACACCTGCAGGGACCTGAGGCAGTGGCAGGTGGAAAAGCAGAGCCACAAGGCGGCTCAGCGGGCAGCGCGCCCCAAGCCGGCTCAGGAAGCCCCAGGAGAACCGCCTGGAGGAGCAGAGCAGTGGCCTGGAAATTAGGGGGCGGAGAGACGTGCCCCGAGGGAGCAGCAGAGCGGGAGTGGCGCCATGAGCTACCCAAGCTACGAGAAAGGTCCCGAACCCTCCGCTCCTACTCAGCCCCCGCCGTACTCCAACAACCCCCCTTACGGGGCCCCTCCCCCACTAGGTGGGCAGTTCCCCCCAGCCAGCTATGGGGCAACCCCCGGAATGCCCCCCCACCCGCAGGGCTATTATAGCCCGTACAACGAGGACCCCAGCCGGGGCCCGATGGGCTATGCCCCGCAGCAAGTCATCCTGGTCTCCCCGCCCACTGTCAAGGAGAACGACTACCTGGGCTACTCCATCTTCACCCTGCTCTGCTGCTGCCTGCCCCTGGGCATCGTGGCGCTGGTGTATTCCATCCAGGTGAGTCCGGGGGGGCGCGGTGCTGCCGGGAATGGGGGTGGCTCTCACATGGCACCACTAAGGGGTGTTGTGCTGGCGGGGGAGGGGGCTCAACACATGGCACCACTAGGGGGCGCTGCACTGCTGGGAGCAGAGGGAGGGCTCTCACATCACACCACTAGGGGGCACTGCGCTGCCTGCTGGGAGCGAGAGGGACCTTCCTTGGCAGTCATGATAATCGCTTTGCACCAGTAGGGGGCGCTGCGCTGCCGGGAGTGGGGGGAGGACTCTCACACGGCACTACTAGGAGGCGCTGTGCTGCCGGGAGAGGGGGGAGGACTCTCACACGGCACTACTAGGAGGCGCTGTGCTGCCGGGAGAGGGGGGAGGACTCTCACACGGCACTACTAGGAGGCGCTGTGCTGCCGGGAGAGGGGGGAGGACTCTCACACGGCACTACTAGGAGGCGCTGTGCTGCCGGGAGAGGGGGGAGGACTCTCACACGGCACTACTAGGAGGCGCTGTGCTGCCGGGAGAGGGGGGAGGACTCTCACACGGCACTACTAGGAGGCGCTGTGCTGCCGGGAGAGGGGGGAGGACTCTCACACGGCACTACTAGGAGGCGCTGTGCTGCCGGGAGAGGGGGGAGGACTCTCACACGGCACTACTAGGAGGCGCTGTGCTGCCGGGAGAGGGGGGAGGACTCTCACACGGCACTACTAGGAGGCGCTGTGCTGCCGGGAGAGGGGGGAGGACTCTCACACGGCACTACTAGGAGGCGCTGTGCTGCCGGGAGAGGGGGGAGGACTCTCACACGGCACTACTAGGAGGCGCTGTGCTGCCGGGAGAGGGGGGAGGACTCTCACACGGCACTACTAGGAGGCGCTGTGCTGCCGGGAGAGGGGGGAGGACTCTCACACGGCACTACTAGGAGGCGCTGTGCTGCCGGGAGAGGGGGGAGGACTCTCACACGGCACTACTAGGAGGCGCTGTGCTGCCGGGAGAGGGGGGAGGACTCTCACACGGCACTACTAGGAGGCGCTGTGCTGCCGGGAGAGGGGGGAGGACTCTCACACGGCACTACTAGGAGGCGCTGTGCTGCCGGGAGAGGGGGGAGGACTCTCACACGGCACTACTAGGAGGCGCTGTGCTGCCGGGAGAGGGGGGAGGACTCTCACACGGCACTACTAGGAGGCGCTGTGCTGCCGGGAGAGGGGGGAGGACTCTCACACGGCACTACTAGGAGGCGCTGTGCTGCCGGGAGAGGGGGGAGGACTCTCACACGGCACTACTAGGAGGCGCTGTGCTGCCGGGAGAGGGGGGAGGACTCTCACACGGCACTACTAGGAGGCGCTGTGCTGCCGGGAGAGGGGGGAGGACTCTCACACGGCACTACTAGGAGGCGCTGTGCTGCCGGGAGAGGGGGGAGGACTCTCACACGGCACTACTAGGAGGCGCTGTGCTGCCGGGAGAGGGGGGAGGACTCTCACACGGCACTACTAGGAGGCGCTGTGCTGCCGGGAGAGGGGGGAGGACTCTCACACGGCACTACTAGGAGGCGCTGTGCTGCCGGGAGAGGGGGGAGGACTCTCACACGGCACTACTAGGAGGCGCTGTGCTGCCGGGAGTGGGGGGGAGGACTCTCGCATGGCACCACTAGGGACACTGTGCTGCCAGGGGCCAGCCAGGGGGGCTCTCCCCAGGCAGTCAGGGCTGATCACATTGCACCACTAGGGGGCACTGCGCTGCAGGGCGCATGGAGCTCTCTCTTGTGGCAATGAATTCCACAGGCCACACAGGTGGCCCTTCGGGGAGCAGGCCTCGGGAGCGGCGAGACACCCTTCCTCCAGGACTGGCAGGAGGACAAGGAAGCGACTCTACTGAGTGGGGAGCCAGCGTAGGGCAGTACGGTCTGGGGGTGGAGGCCCAGATGGCTGGTGGCACAGACTGTACCACCCTGGCCACTGCTTGCCCTGGAGATTCAGGGTAGCAGTAGGATTGATGAAGGCAGGTAAGTGTGCAGCACAGAGCCAAGGTCTAAGGGGAGGGCGGGTGCTGACTCCCTGGGGTGGAGCCTCGCCAGCCGCTGTCCATCTGTGGAAATACGGGTGGGGAAGAGCTGGGGACTGTTCAGAGCTGTGTTTCTTAAACTATGTTCCGAGAGAACAACAGAATTCAAAATGGCCACCCTTAAAGGTTTTTTTCTCGAGAACTTTCCCCCGACCCTTTTTCCCCCGACTTTTTTTTTCTCAACAAAAAATCTTTCATGTTCCCCATAAATAATTTATTGTTTGCTGTTCCTCAGTCTTAAAAAGTTTAGGAAACACTGGTTTAGAGAGTCACTGGAACAGCCACACAGAGGTAATAGGAGAGAGTGTGCTAGAGGTGCTAGTAATGTCTGTTACTCAGCAGCTCAACCGCAGAGGCAGCTGCATCTCAGCCCCCAATGAGCCATCCCCATGGGGCGTTGCTCTGTATCTGTTCCCCTGCTGTCCCAGCCCAGAGACAGCTGTATCTCAGCACTGGGTGAACTGAAAATACCCCCCCCACACACACATACACACACTGACCCACCCCAGAGGTGGCTGCATCTCAGTGCCAGGTGAGCAGTTCCCAGTAGCTGTGGGGTTAATTGTTCCTGTCTCTCTCTCTCTCCCCAGACCAGGGATGCCAACAACGCCGGGAATGCTGTCCAAGCGCAGCGGAGTTCCCGGATGGCCCAGATTTTCAACCACACGGCCCTCGGAGTGGGAATTGTGCTGCTGATCGCGTGGATTGCCATTGTGGTGACCATCACCCTCTCTCACTAGAGAGCCGATCCCTGAGGAGTTAATCCTTCCACCCAGCCCCTCCGCGCATCCAGCTCTGAGCCAACCCCTCCAGAAGGGGGCAGCGGGTTTTCCACACCTGCCTGAACACACACACAGCAACAAGACCACACACAGACCTGCACACACAACCATCTCCTCAGCCCCAGCCACCCCCACCAAACAGCCAGTCCATGGGCCCCTCTCCCCCAGCGTAACCCCCCCTTGCCAGCCCCAGCGCACACCGGGGGATCCAGGGAGAAAGGGTCCCCTCTGCCCAACCCAGGACTCCCAACTAGGCCATATTCCACCCACCCACATCCAGGGACATGGTTCAAATGTGGGTGCAAAGGACTCTGGGAGACACTGGGGATGGACAGGGCTTCAGACAGGGTCTGAGATGATGCAAGGGAGGAGGGTGGTCCCAAATCCAGCCTTACCCCTAGGCTTTCCCCACCCAACTCCACCCAGCTGAGGTCCATTTTGGGCCACACCATTGGCTTCTGGGAAAGACGGGACGGTCCAGACCACGGACTAAGATTCTCCCCTGTTGGTTGTGTTAGAGGATAAGGGCTCTAGTACTGCTTCTGGCTAGTGGGGTGACTCCTTTAGTGCCATCTAGAGGATAACAACCTTAGAACTGCTGCTGGCTAGAGGAGTGACTGGAAGATAACAGTCTACTACTGCTGCTGGTTAATGGATGAAGGGGACCCATCATGGCGTGACCAGTAAGACCAATAAAACCACTGTCTGCTGGGTAATCCAATCAGCTCCTAGTCACCCTGTGTTTAAACAGCATGTCTCAGGCGAGGGAGCACACCACTGCCCAGCTCCTGGTGCCCGGCTATGAGAGCCGCCCCCTGCCAGCTCCACTGATAAGTGGCAAAATGCCCCTTGTGTGCACATGGGTTCACCCGCCAGCTTCGCCTGGCTGCCCAGAGATCTCCCCGATCGGCTGAGAGCGCCAAGGATGGACACGCTCGTGCCACGGATGAAGCCCAGCACCTGTGTGAGAGGAGACGCCGCCTCCCCCCCGCCCTGGCCCGAGTGGCTGAGAGAGGCTGAAAGACTTGGTGCACAAGTCTGCTCTCGTGCAAAGGGACAGCAATTCAGGGACGTGTTCAGGCTGTGTTACACGGCAGGGCGTGATCCAAGTGTGAGCCCGCAACCCTACTGAGGGGCAGCACTACTGGGAGCTAGGCAGGACCCTTCCCTGGCGTGCTGGTTAAAGCGGCATCGGACGCTCCAGAGAAATGAGGCAGGTTCAAAATCATCCCCCGGCTGTTACCACGGGGTCCAGAGCCTGCCCAGGCCCACGTGGCCACGGGGTGTTGCGAGATCGCTGACTCCCCCGACAGCCAAGCTCCACTGGGAATGGCCAAAAGCCTGGCCCAGGCCCCACCGGGGTGCCAAATGGAGACGTTTGTGTTGCAGCGAGAGGGGCGCGCCGCAATGGGAGTCCTGCTCCTGCCGCTCGCCTAGCCAGCCTGCCTTTGCCTGCCCTCGCCTCGCCCGCCGGAGACGCCACTGGTGGCGCATGCCCCCCTCTCTGTACATCTGCCCCTGCCGCTGCTTCCAGGCTCACCGACCCGAAGCCAGCGAGGGGCCTCGCCGAGGAAACGGGCTCATTAAATTATTCCACCAGCGTGTGTTTGAGAACTTTCCTTGGTCACCCTGCGCTCTAACCACTAGTCCCCACTGCCCTCCCAGAGCCATGGAAGGCACATGGGAGTCCTGACTCGCAGCCCCTTGCTCTAACCACTAGTGTCCACTGCCCTCCCAGAGCCATGGAAGGCACCTGGGAGTCCTGACTCACAGCCCCTTGCTCTAACCACTAGTCCCCACTGCCCTCCCAGAGCCATGGAAGGCACCCGGGAGTCCTGACTCTCAGCCCCTTGCTCTAACCACTAGACCCCTCTGCCCTCCCAGAGCCATGGAAGGCACCTGGGAGTCCTGACTTGCAGTCCCTTGCTCTAACCACTAGTCCCCACTGCCCTCCCAGAGCCATGGAAGGCACCCGGGAGTCCTGACTCTCAGCCCCTTGCTCTAACCACTAGACCCCTCTGCCCACCTGGAGCATGGGAAAGAGCCCAGGAGTCTTGATTCCCAGTCCCCTCCCTGCTCTAACCACTAGACTCCGCCCCCCCCTTTCCCAGGGCAGGGGATGCTCCTGCGTGGGTGCTGCCTGGGCTGTGACACACTGGGGGGTGAGGCCAAGTGATCAAGCAGGGCTGGGGAGCCTTTTCTGGGTTGGGGGCCGCTGAGCCACAGAAAAATCAGTTGGGGGCCACACGCAAGCGAAAAGCAAAATAACCCCAAGGACCCGTCGCTGAGGGGCTGTGCACCAGCCCTGCGGATGTCGGCAGAGGGCTGGAGCACCAGCGCGGGCTCCCCAATGGGGAGGGAGCCCTGAGCCTGGGGAGCCACATCCAGCCCCGGGGCCTGAGGTGCCCCACCCCGATCGACGTGCTCCCCCGAGAAGACACTGGGGTAGTCCTGGGAGTGGATTCCCCATAACGGGCCGTCCAAGCTCCTCCACTGTTGCACCTGAAAAGCCATGGGAGGGGGGCATGCTCGGTCGGCGCCTCCACAAGGGGCGTGGCTTCAGGTGGAAGGGGCGTGGCTTCAGGTGGAAGGGGTGGGGCAATTTAAAGGCCCCCGGAGCTCCAGCCACCACTGCTGTGATAGTAATTGGAGCAGCCCAGAGCGCTGGGCCCTTTTACACCACTGGGTCCCAGGGCATTAAGCCCTTCCCCTCGTCGGCGGCCCTGGTTGTGGGTGTTCCCTGTCTCACCACATATTTCGGTATCCCGCTGTGACGCAGTGGGGTCTGCTTTCACTCTTGTAGTCCCTGCAGTCGCTCTTTGCGGTGCTGTACGTGATTCTACAGCCCTGTGCTGTTCTCTAGTAACGCTGTGTGTGTGCCTCAGTTTCCCTGGGCACTGCCGCTCTCTCTGCATGAGGAGGGGACAGCTGGGCCCGACTCACTGGGGAAGTGTGTTCAGCCTCTATCCTCCTGAGGACCAGGTGACAACAGATCACACCTTGGGACAAAGGAGGAGGCAGGGCTGCTTAGAGGGCTGGGACCAGTGTGTGTGTGGGGGGGGGAGTTTCTGCTGGCTCGGGGAGACTAGCCGGCTTGGGGGCGGGGCAGAGCCCTGGCTCGGTGCCATATCCCCAAGATGGGTTGTTCTGGCTGCTCCTGGTTCCCTTAACAACAGATCTGTGCCACGCTGTGTCCCTGTGAGCC